GCATTTGTTAGACACAGTAATACAATCCGTTTTAAAATGCACATCAAGCCTGAATTTGATTCTCACACCTGCGGCACAGCTGGCATGAAGTATCCACTGGTGGGCTGGAACTGATTAATGATGGCATTAGCTGGCATGGCTCTCATGCCAGCTATCCGCTGCATGTACTGGTTGGTGAGATGGGCTTTGCGCTCCTCTTTGCGCTGAGCAAGAGCCACGTAGAGAGGTTTAGAGCCAACAATACGTCCGTTCATTTCAGTCACAGCCTTGGTAGCCTCTTCAGGGGAGGAAAAGCAGACAAAGCCAAAGCCCTTGGAGCGCCCCTCCTCTAGCATCACCTAAAACACAGACAGCGGAGGTAACTTATGTGTTGAAGTCTCTTATTTATTCAGTGTATTGAGCCATTTTTACCTTAGCGCTTGTAATTGAGCCAAATGGAGAGAACTCCTTGCGCAGTTTCTCATCATCTATTGTGTCATCCAAGTTTTTAATATAAAGATTAACTCCCTGAAACAAAAGGTACGATTTATCCAGAACCATCAGCTTACTTGCTGACATTGACATATAAAGTTAATTGATTTTTATTTCGACAGACGACCAGTAGTTTCTGCAGACCTGATAACGGCTGATCCTCTCTTGTTTCAGCTGCTCAACCTTCCTCTTCAGCTCCGCTTGCCTCTCCATTTTCTTCTGAGCTCGGCCCACGAACACAGTCTTGCCGTTGAGTTCGGTGCCGTTCATCTCCTCTACAGCCTTTAAATGAAGCCACATTTGTCAGAGAAAACAGACAAACGCACACTTGACACATTTCCAAAAGTACAAAGTACCTTGTTGGCATCCTCGTGTTTTTCGTAACTAACAAATCCAAACCCTCTGGATTTGCCGCTGGGGTCTGTCATCACCTTCACACTGAGGGTTTTACCTGCAAAGGCCAAAGAAAGTGGATGGAAAATGAAACAATGTGGCTGCACGGGAATATCAGGGAAGCACAACATTTTTCCACTTCATCCATTAAAAGTAAAATTCACAAATTGCTCCCAGTGCACCGGCCAAGACCGGATCTCCCCCCCAGGAAGTTCTGTTCTGGATTTGTGCATCTGCAGTGTGCACTGGATTATCTTTACTATTTCCAAACAGTGACCCTTCAAGTTGGATTTACTTCTGGGTGAGAGGTCAAAGTCAAAGGGTGACTGTGGAGCAATAAACCACACTTTAGGTCTTTTTGGTTGATTGATCTCTCGCAGGTCTTCCCCTGGAGGACAAATTCACAGTACACAGTGTGCATGCTCCTCAGTGCCCCACTAATCAGATGCACCACCTTCAGGTTTGCACTACTGCTCATAATGATCCTAATCAAGAAGGATGACACAGAAGTTTTGTTTTGCAGTCCTTCCAAGTTTCAGGTCTACAGTGAAACTGCAAGTACCAGTGGTCAGAGCGATCTAAAAATAGCAGGAGTGCTGCAAATGCTGCAGCTCTTCATCTGGAAACGATCAGAAA